TCACTCAGAGCGCACAGCACGGTTAGGCTGAAAGGTGCTAATGACTGTCATCCCGGGAGAGGGGGCTGGCATCCACAGCCAATCACAGACTGCACTAATGCCAGTGGGTGCCCAGCGCCCTCATTCCGGCTCCATGCAATGTGCAATCAACCCTCTCTGCGCAGTAAAGAGACTGCAAACAACAGAGGCCACTGCCCAAGGCGCTAGGCTCTGTAGCTCAGGGGGCTGCTCCACACGGCTGTTTTCAGCAAGCCAGCACAAGCCCTGCTACTGCAAGGCTGTTAATCTGCCCTGGGAGACTTGCCCCCCGCAGCAGTGAAGACCTGCGGTTCTCATACGTTAGCGCTCAGGGCGGGGACACGCGCAGAGACCCTCTGTGACAAAGTGGGACTGTTCTTAATGTTTCCTCTGAATACTGTGTGGGTGCCTCAGTTTCTGTCACCTGGCAACTAATGGCCAGGCCCTTTCCCCATGCAAGGGGATGCTAAAGGTGTGGGAGAACAAAGAGATCAGGTGACCTCCTGGCCCGGGAAAGGAACTCAGCAGAGAAGGGGGGGCTGGAGGGGGTTTCAGTTTGGAGCTGGCTGGGGACGGGAAGTGAGGGCAGACGGGGTTATCTGGCTCGCTGGGCCCCAGAATGGACCTGGCTGAGGGGTCCCGTTCGTTGTACCTTACAAGCTCTGTTTTAGACCGTGTTCCTGTCATCTAATAAACCTCTGTTTAATTGGCTGGCTAAGAGTCACGTCTGACTGCGAAGTGGGGGTGCGTGCAGGACCTCTGGCTTCCCCAGGACCCTGCCTGGGCAGACTCGCTGTGGGAAGTGCACGGAGGGCATATGCTAAATGCTCCAAGGTCAGACCCATGAAAGTGAAGCCATGTCAGCTTCCTGCCCTGAAGACAGTCTGCTCCATGGGAGAGGAGGCTCCCGAAAGTCCTGACTGGCTTTGTGGGGAGAAGTTCCAAAGAATTGCCCAGGGACTCCGTGACATCCTCTGCCTCCCCACCGGGGATGTGCTGTCTGCTTCCAGGAGCGGCATGGAGCCAGGGCAGGTAGGGAGCCTGCCTTAGCCCCGCTGCAACGCTGACCAGACTTTTAGCTCCTAAAATCTCCCGGTTTGGCTTCAGTAGCCTCCGGGAGATAGAGGTAGGGAAGAGGAGGGAGGAATTGATGAGTAGGGCCTGCGGATCCTCTGGAGTTCAATCGGGGACCCCTAGGGGTCCACGGACTCCAGTTTGAGAAATGCTGTTATAGACCAGGGTGGCCGCTGAGACATTCCCAGAATACCGGAGATCCTGGTACTTCCAGGAATGGCGTGGGCCTGTCCCCGCTGGCGTGACCTCGCACACTCAGTGTGTGTGAGTTCACGCCAGCAGGGCCGGAGCAGTGCGCTCTTCCAAATGGCGCCCCTCATCCAATACCAGACACAAGCACTGGACGGGGCAAACCACCCAAGAAGAGAACATTCCGATCTCAAACCGGATGAATGGCCTGCCTGGTGTAGACAAACCTACTGTGTCCAGTGCACCAGGGCCTGGTACCCTGCCCCCCACCCCACACCCCCAGCTCTCACCTTCCGGGTACTGGGAACGAAGTCTTTGTCCAAACTGACAATTCGAAACTTCACTGGAAAGGAGCAGAAGCAGAGGCAGGAATCAGCCCTGGCTTGGTTTGTCTGAGTGAATTCCCAGCTGGGGAAGGTGCAAGCCGGACGCCCTGGGCACTGACGGCCTCTGTGAACCTGCAGAATGGGCCCAGCCCGGGCAGTGCAGTGCCAGCTTCCCCACGCTTCCTCCCGCGGCCCTGACCTGCGTGGCTGGAGGGGAGTTCAGCATGGGCGACATGTGAGAGGCTTGTCCCCGGCCCGCTCTGCCCAGCCCCTTCTGCCGGAAGTTCCGCCCCCTCCTGCCCTCTTGCCCCCGCCAGAGGCTAGAGCCCTACCTCCCACCCCTCCGCAAATGCCCCCTCCCTCGCCCCAGCCCTAGGCTGCCTGAGAGCCTCCACCCTGGAGCGCTGGACAGGCGGGCGATGCAGCCCACAGCCCCTGAGCGCTATGCAGGTGGTGCAGCCCCCAGAGCCCCAACCCCCGGAGCTCCCATTGGACTGGGAAAGGGGAACCATGGCCAATGGGAGATTTGAGGGTGGTACCCACAGGTGAGGGCAGCGTGCGGCGGAGCTGCCTGCCCCACCCCACCCCCAGGAGCCACTGCCAGACATGCTGGCCACTTCCGGGAGCAGCACGGGGGCAGGGCAGACAGGGAGCCTGCCTTAGTTCTACTGCCACCCTTAAGCCGCTTGAGGTAAGTGGCGCCAGGGCGGAGTCCACACCCCTCCTGCACCCCACACCCAAACCCCCTGCCCTGAGCCCCCTAACCTCCTGCCTTGAACCCCCTGCCAAACACCTCCTGCACCCCAACCCCCTGTTCTGAACCCCTGCCTCATCCCGCCTACTACCCCAACACCCTGCCCGGAGCCCCTCCCACACCCTGCCCTCACTCCCACATCCCAACCCCCTTCCACAGCCCTACATCCATGGCTCTGCATACAATTTTCCCACACAGCTGTGGCCCTCAGGTCAAAAAGTTTGCCCACCCCTGGGCTAAATGGAGGGGCGTCCAGGCAGCTCTGTGCAGTGCACGCTGCCCACCCCCCACCCCCCAGGCACCGCCCCCACAACTCTCATTGGTTGCAGTTTCCATGCAAAGGGAGCTGCGGAGCCGGTGCTGAGGGTGGGGGAGCACATGGAGCTTCCCTGATGACCCTGTGCCCAGTGGCTGCCTCCAGGGAGCTGTGTGGAGCTAGGGCAAGCAGGGAGCCTGCCTTAGCCCTGCTGCGCCACAACCTGAACTTTAAATGGCCCGGTCACAGTGCTTACTGGAGCCACCAGGGTCCCTTTTTGACTGGGCCTTCCGCTCGAAAACCAGACGCCTGCCAACCCGTCCCGCAGTGCTCGTCGGGCAGTGCAGCCTTCAGTAGCCCCAGCTCTGGAGCGCTGGGAGGCCAAGCACCAGCTCCAGCCGCCTGGAGTCCCTGATCGCAGGCCCCCGGCCATGAGGGAAGAGCCGCAGAGCGCTGGCAGGGAGCAGGAGGGGTCCTGGGGACGAAGCGTGGGTGGGGCCATGCAGGGCTGTTTGGGGAAGGTTACTGTCCCCCAGCCTGTGATACCTGCTGTCCATGGAGCTCAGCCAGAGGAGTGCCCCCTGCAGTGTCTGTGCCATCAAGGAGGACGGGCTCAGACCCCCACTTGGCTCCAGACAGGCCCCCAAACAGGCCTCAGGCTTTGGGCTCCTTGGTGCTGGGTGCAGACAGGGGCCTATAGAGTCCTGAGTCCCTCGCTAGGCCCCCATCCCATCCCCAGAGCCCAGGAGTCCATCCCAAGGGCCTGGGGCCCCAGGAAACTCCATCCAGCAGCTCCTGCCCTCTCACCTGTCTGTCCCGGCTTGTAGACGGCCTTGTCTGTCTGCACAAAGGTCCTGGGCTGCAGCGCCCACAGCAGCACTTTCTTCCGCTCAGAGAACTGCAGGGCATCTCCCCGGATCGAGACGTGCAGCTCTGCCACTTCCTGCTGCCCCCCGGACGGGGCTGGAACCTGCACACGGGGACCCCCAGCAAGGCCACAGCGGCCAGTAATGGGCCGGTCATGGTGCAGACCCGCTATCGCATGGGGGGGGGGGGAGTGGTAGTTTGTGAGTCCCCGTCAGGGCCGGTGCTTCCATTTAGGCCAACTAGGCAGTTGCCTAGGACGCCAAGATTTGGGGGTGACAAAAAGCGGCGCCCCCAATTTTTTTTTAAAGCGGTCCAGCGGCCGCTGCGCTGGGAGGGAGAGAGTCTGAGCCGCCAGCAGGCAACCCAGGAGTTCCCCTGTGTCCACGCACCGCCGGCAGCCCATGGGTTCCCCTGCCAGTGACGCGCTGACTCAGGGGAACCGCTGGGCTGCCGGTGGCACGCGGACACAGGGGAACCGCTGGGCTGCCGGTGGCACGCGGACACAGGGGAACCGCTGGGCTGCCAGTGGCGCGCTGACTCAGGGGAACTGCTGGGCTACCTGCCAGCGGTTCAGACTCCCTCTCCCTCCCAGTGCAGCGGCCGCTCCATCCCATGTGATTCCTGTCATTGCCGGCGGGTGCACCGGCGGCTGGGCAGAGCTCTGCAGCTCTGCTTACGGCAGGTGGCACGAGCCCGGCGACGGCGACGGGCGCAACTCAGCAGGGCTTCTGGAGGAAAGGGGCGGCTGCCTCCTGGCTCAGCCTACACGGTCAGCCCCAGCGGGGGGCACGGAGAAGAAAAGAGCCTCAGGCGGCGGTCTGGTGGAGCGGAGGAAGAAAGAGGACCCCGACGCCCCTGCGTTGCTTCCCCACACAGCTCGTCCTCAGGCGCCTGTGCTCCTGCCCCCTTGGTCCTTGGCTGGTCCCTGCTCCTGCTCCCCTTGTGCGTGGGCGGCTGGAGAGGACGGCAGCCTGCAGAGCTGAGCTGCCCCAGTGCCCCCCTCTCTCTGCTCCAGCCTCTGTCATGCCCGGTATCTGAGTGCAGGGCCATGCCGGGGGTGGGGGGGGGAGTGTGGCAATTGCCTGAGGCACGAGTATGTCAGAGGCTCCGCCTGCCCCACGAGTATGGAGAAGTCGTAAGCAGCATGGTAAGGGGCCAGGGCCGGGTACCCCCCGACCCCATCCCCCACACAGCCCTGACCCCCAGCTCTGAGCCCAGCCCCTCTGAGCTGGGCACCCCCCAACCCCATCTCCCCACATCCCTGAGCCCAGCCCCTGTGAGCCGGGCACCCCTGAACCCAGAGCCCAGCTCCCCACCCAGCCCTGGGCAACAGCAGCACGACCCCCAGGCAGCAACAGCCCATTGGCACCAACCATCACCCAGCAAGAGCCCATTATGTAATTGCAAATGTATATATACCATTACAGCTTTTAATGTTTTTAAATAATGTATTTAGTGTATTTTCAAATGATTATGAATTATTTTTTGAATGTATTTCACTGGTTATTTTTTACATTTCCAAATACATGTTACTAGAGAATTGCAACTTTTTTTATGAAAGGGGCCCCCAAAATTGCTTTGCCCCAGGCCCCCTGAATCCTCTGGGTGGCCCTGTCTGAGTTTTAAGCCCTGCTGCTGTGTTATGCCTGCATAAATTATAACATGTTACTCTGTGACCTTGTATTGTGTATAATGTATGTGATTTATTTTTTGGGGGGGTGGGTGGGGGCGAGGTGGAAGTTTCGCCTAGGGCGCAAAATATCCTTGCACCGGCCCTGGTCCCTGTTTCAGCCCCCCCCAACCACAGGAACCCCCGTCCCCAGCCTGGGGGCCCTGAATGGGAGGGAGCATGAACCTGGGGCGTTCGATGGAGTTGGAAGCCAGGGGCTCTCTGTGCCCCCCACCCCATCCCTCGCTCCCCCCTGCCTGTCACTGCTGAGGGATGGGCTCGAGTTCTGTGGCTACAGCTGCCCATTGAGTGACCAGCTCAGTGCCCATGGCCAGTCCCCTGAGCCCTGCTGTGCCCGGGGCCTGAGGCTGGGCTGGGGCTGCAGACCCGGGGCTGATGGGCTCCATACCTGTGGCCAGTACCCGGGGCTGTGCCGATGGTTGCGGGTGGAGGCTCACCTGGAAGCGCACGTTCTCGTGCAGACGGGGCTCCTGGACCTCTCTCTCCAGCAGGGTGATATTGCTGGGCCCATCCCCCCTCTCCAGCCGGACGCTCACGCGGACGGTCTCGTTGAGGTCGCTGAGATGAACTGACACCGTCCCCATGTGCGGGTGGTAGAGTACGGCTGGGCTCACCACCACATAGTGCCTGGGGAGGGGAAAGCACCATGGGCAGTGGGGGAGTGGGATGGGAGGGGACAGCCCAGAGTCTCCCCCAGGACCAGGGTGACTCCTGCTTTCTGAGTCCCTCCTGCTGGGGACAGAGCTGGGTCGATGGTGCTGGAGGCTGATTCGTTTCTCTAACCATAGGGCAGGGACAGAGCAAGGCCCCCCTGCTCCTTCCCCTGCCCCAGCCTGCCTCCCGTGGAGCTGGAGGGGCCCCGAGGTGCAGTGAGGGGCTCAGTCCCCATCATCCCCGGCCTCTCGGCTGGTCCGG